ATGCTCTGAATCTTCGTTTCTCCTTTATTAGCTCTAATCACTAAGAATTCTCTAAGAACCTAATGCCCAAAATGCCCTTGATTTCTTGGATAATGGAATTACTCCTATCATATTTGAAAACATGAGTAACTCTAATGCAAAGGATTCTAAATACCTTTCTGATTACATAATGCCTCCGAAAAGTATCCGAATACTATATGATCCTGATAAATCACATTCTGAATAACTGATGAATATGTCATCTATCAAACCCTTTTATGTGGATCTCGTCTTTGAATTTAATCAGTTTACAGAAGTTTCATGACTCCCTATCTGATAAATATCAATCACCTCCGAATAATATCTGGAACCTCTAGTGTGTTCCTTGATCACACAGATGTTTTCTCTGATTTTAAAAGTATGTCTCTATTGTTTGAAATACAATATGACCTCTGATTTCTGCTCTGAAATTTGATATCTATTTTGATCTCTAATTTCTGTTCTGATTTCTTATCTCTGCTCTGATTTTTTTATATCTCTATTTACTGAATGAAATTATTTTCATATGGGATACTCTAGTACTCTGGTACGACTCAAGACTCTGGCAGATTCAGTCACTGCTGGTAATTCCTTGTATAGGTTCACCACCGACTGGTAATTTCTTATGAACCTAAAGAGACTCTTGGGTGGGGTCCTAGGCCTAATGGGCCTAGTTGTAAGACCATATGGACCCTAAGGCATTCCCTTATGGTGGCTCCTTTGCTATGTGCATTGGGTAAGTCCTTATGGGCTTGAGGGCACTCCCCTCAGGTGGGTACCTACGCTTCGGCTAGGGTAAGACCTTAAAGACCCAAGGTGCTCCCTTAGGTTGGCACCTACGCCTTTTGGGCCTAGGGTAAGTTCTTATGGATGCAATTTTAGGGAACTGCATATTGGTGTTCGATTGAAGGGTTTTACTATGGTTTTAAAAAAATACGTTTTAAACTGATATTGTTTTAAAAAGATTTGTACATTTTCACTGGTTTTGTGGGAACACACTAGACACCCTATTATGATCTCTTAAACCTAGTCCTCTAAACGTTTACTCTCTACTGGAAGCTTCCTGTCTTTTACTACCTGAGATATCAGTGGGACCTCAGCTTAGCATAAAAATTTGTAAATGCTTTAATTAATAAGGAAAATTATGTTTACCTATTATATGCATGTCCTTCAACATCACTTGGTAGTTTTGTATTACTAAGCTTTCCAAAGCTCACTTTGTTACTCATTATTTCATGTTAAATGGATTGAATCAATGCAACTATCAACATCAATAAAGGAGTTCCACCAGCGTTTCTTGCGGAGTACGGTGCATGTGTTTAGGGGGCATATAGGTGGTATTCTGTTTTTATATCCGAGTTTGAAACGTGTATGATTTTAGTTCTTTCTGTAATATATAAATGGTTTTTCGAACTTGTATTTTAAATTATAATTTGTTTTATGATTTTACACGTTTTAAAAGAAATTTTAAATTTTTTTCGGGATTTCTACTGTGGGTCACTCCGGTGGCCTTAATATGAAACATTGGATCAGATAGGGTCACTCGCATCGGTCTGTGGGTGTTACATTTAGTGATATCAGAGTTTATGTTTATAATAAAATAATAGAAAACAACTAAAACAAAGGAAATAATATTATATTTATAATAAAATAATATAAAGTTTAATTATGTTATAGCTAAAACTTAACAAATAAAGTTATGTATTATTTTTTAAAATTTAATAAAAATATTAAATTTATAATTGAAAATTTATAATTGAAAATATTTTTTTTATTTCTTTATCGAATAGTTCTCATTATAAACTTTTCATACAATATCAATCTAAAATTTTGATAACAAGCTCTAACACACATTATAGGATCATATTTGTGTCAAATTATCTATTTAACATCTCTAAATGATGGTTTAATTCAAAATATTGAACGATTAAGAATTGAAATTAGGCATAAATGATAAGATTAACAAACAAGAAGACATATTTTTTACAGGAATATATAAATAATTCTATGTATACTTAGTTAGACTCGTAACCAATTCAACCTGAATTGACCTGATCTAAAGGTTGACCCAAATCGAAAATCAAAGATCTGATATTGACCTGACCCGAAATCTAATTGATCTGGTATTAACTCGACACAAAAATCAATCGATCCGACATTGACCCAACGTAAAAATCAATCGATTCGATATTGATCTGAACCGAAAAACAACTGATCTGATAATCACCAGACCCAAAAATTGACCCGATTCGATTTAACGTACACCCGAACTAGATCCTAACCAGATCCAATCTTACCCAAAAAAAATAAACTGAATATAATCTAGACCTGAAATGACCCGTCTCGAAATGATCCGACTCAATCCCTATCCGAATGACCCGTTTGCCACCTCTAATCTTTCTAGAAACTAACCTAAGAATGCCGCTCAATCCCAATGTTTTTCAAATTAAAGAATCGATAAACCACAAAATTGCAAAGAGATTATATATATCGGGGCGAATTTGTTTCTAAGACAGTGGTTTTCATCACGACACGGTTTCGGATGTTTATTTGTCCAATATTTTTATTTGTGCCAGTTTCAGACAAAGTTTTAATTCGAAAATTAATCAGGTTTATATTTGGTTTTTTACCCCTGAACGAAGCCTATAAATAAGAGGTTTTTCAAGCTTCTCAGCACACTCTCAACTCTCACAAATCCTCTCATTCTAAAGCATTCCAAGTTTCTTTTCTCTGATGCTATCAGAAGAGCAGTACCATCGATAATCCACTCTAGTTTTGGGTTTATGAATTCTCAGAGCGACCTTGTTAACCTCGGGGGACGATTCATCAATTGCAGCGATTACACACTTCGGGGCGAATTTGTTTCTAAGGCAGTGATTTTCACCATGACACGATTTCAGTTGTTTATTTGTTTAATATTTTTATTTGTGCAAGTTTCAAACAAAATTTTAATTCAGAAATTAATCATGTTTATATATGGTTTTGTTGTGGACACTTTTACCCCTGAATGAAGCCTATAAATAGAGACGCTTTTCAAGCTTCTCAATACACTCTCAACTCTCACAAATCCTCTCATTCTAAAGCATTCCAAAATTCTTTTCTCTGCTCCTATCAGAAGAGCAGTACCACTGGCAATCCACTTCGGTTTTGGGTGTACGAATTCTCGGAGTAACCATGTTAACATCGGGGGGACGATCCATCAATTGCAGCGATTATACTCATCAGGACGGATTTGTTTCTAAGACCGTGATTTTTACCACGACACAATTTCAGTTGTTTATTTGTTCAATGTTTTTATTTGTCCTGTTAGTGCTAACAGTCTCGTTTTGCAGTATTCATTTCCAATAGTATTTCATAGTGCTTGCCTAGCTAGGCATCTAAACTAGGATTGTGAGTCTGTTTTTTTGTGGAAGCCTGAATATCAATTTATAGTTTTAAAACTATACAATTTGTTAAATGTTAAGAACTGGTGCTTGCCTCGCGAGAATTAATGGGCGACTTTGAATTTGTTGTTGTGTCTCTTTGGCTTGCAAAGCCATAGCCTTTCATAGAAGCAACAAATGAATTATTATTATAATAATAAAATCATGAAAAACACAACAAATCTCAATATCGTTTTTCACTCGTTCATCAGTAAGTAAAAACTGTTATAAGAAGATAGAAAGAAAGAAATTAAAAAAAAGAGAGAGAAAGTTAGAAAGAGAATGACAGAGAGATGAAGTAAGAGAAAGTTAAGCAGCGTAAGACTTAAGACAATAGCAAGCAACATATTGTCATAGCATAACTATGGGAAAATAATATTATTATTAATAAGTGTTGTAATCAACATTTAGAAGAAGAAGAATTTAACGGCAATTAAGTGCCATGTGAGTAAAAACTAACGGGGAGGTTCACTGTATTGCAAGTTTCAAAAGTTGGGTGACCAAAATGCAAGTGTCCTAAAAGTTCAGAGACTATTTGTATACTTTACCTTTAATATTATATTAATAAATTATAAAAATGATTAAATACAATTAAAAGAGAATAAAAAATTGAATGTGAGTATGATATAGAGTTTGATTTTGAACAATAAATAAAATAAAGAATAATATATTGTTTTACAGTTAGATTGAGATTATATAATACTAAAAATTAAAGGATATTTGATAAATATAGTTAGATTTAGTTCAAAGTTGAATAAATTAATGAGAGACATAGAGATAAGAATGAAAAATTGAAATTTTCATACAATTGAACAAAAATTAAAGACCCTTGAATATAAAGATAGGAAGTGAAGTCATTTTATAAAATTTAAAAAAATTAGGGGCACTCAATTATAAAAATAAAAAGTTTGGAATATTTTATAAAATTAAAAAATAAAAACTTTTAATAATTAAGGTAGAAAGTGGGGATAATTTTGTAAAATTGAAAAGAGATAGGGCCTTTAATAATTAAGGTGGAAAGTGGGGGCACTGAGCTGCTGATCAAGGTGCTCCCCTATGGACGGCTCTGGGCTTGAGACTCTGTAGTCAATAGGGAATATCCTTGAAAAGATTCAAAGTTATTTGCGAAAGAGATTCGAAGAAATTGAACCGTTGTTGTTCAAAGCTTGAATTGGGATTTCCATGTTGGGTTTGGTACCAGCCACGAAACACATACGTTAATGGATCAACCGGAGCTGCTTTTGTCCATACTATCCTCAGATTTAGGATTTTATTTTTAATTTAGCAGAATTTATTCTCTTTGCATTTATAATATTATTAGTTGGTCTAAATAATTAATATCGAATATCCATAAATATTTCGATTAAAGAGTTGCATGAATTTTCATCACAACAAAAATGTTTAAGAAGAAAACAAAAACAAACAAGCTGCTGGAAGAAGCGATATTTTAACATTTTGATCCGACAGCTCTTTTCTTGGCTCGAGGTTTAGGTTTACAGAGTTGCTTTGACATATGATCAAATAAAAGACGGCAAAATCGGTTCCTCCAATTCTCAACATTTACGAAAACATTTGATCCAGCAGAAGAACCAGAGCCATTGCGAAGCCAGGATCAAGTCCAGCCTGCACAATCAACACAAAAACCTCTAGGCCGAAAGGAATGCATCCATTCAATGAATCCTTCGGCCTGATCTCCGCCACCACTCTCTTATTCTCATCCACCACTTTACATGATCTCTGCGAATACAATCCTTCAATCGTATACGCATGTCGTTTATCCCTCGACCGCCGATAAACATATGCTACCACATTAGGCTTGGCATGTAAAATGTTAATGCTCTTCTTTACGTAGAAAATCGGCTCTTCTGATGTACACAATTCACCTACTTCCCCTCCATACACAAGCCAAGTATCTACTGGCCTAAGCTTCTGTCCATAAAAATAACATATATATCATTATCAAGCTCCAAGTTAACTACCATTTATGCATACATACATGAGATATTGACTATTGACAGAGTAATACAACAAACATTATAGGGGTCTTTTTGCACTAAAATGAAAGTTGGAAGTTAAATGATTATTTGGTCAAACGCTTTTATACATAAAATAAATAAAACTGCACCTTGTGACGTCGCATTGTGAAGATGGGTTTCCCCGAACCGTCCATAAGGAGGAGTTCCTTGGGTCGTCCTCCCATGTAAGTATCAACTCGGTAAACCAGATTTCCATCTGAATCAATCACAGTAAATCCTTTACAGCTAACGATAAGTGATTTTCTCCACACCGTTAGCGATGTGCACAGATCGCCACCTTGGGTTTTGGATAACTCTGGATGTTCTTGATGTCCATCATGGACTGATCTTGACAAAGAATTCCGGAAAAGAAACATTTTTTTTCTGTTTTCTGTCTGTAAGAATTATTTTAAAAGGTAATGGGAAACTATGATTTATAGACTATATGTATCTAAGTTTTTACCTGACTATTAAACCTCTCTTTTACTGAGGACAATTTCGATGGGATTAAAAAAAGGTTGTAATTTCATCATATGTTGTCTAGATTCCACATATTGTTAAATTTGGAAAATCCCAAGATTCCAAATTTTCACTTCTTTCAAGTATTTGTTAGGTTATTATTCCATTGGTTCAATGATTCATAAGAAAAGGACGAAAATGGGAACCGTAAAACGTGTGAGGGGGAGAAATTCAAGATAAACTTACTGTATGATACAGATTTCAATCTGCAGATGTCAAAACAAAACAGGGAATGGGGGAGACCGATGATCCCCTTGTCATATGTTTTTGAATGCGAGTAGTATTTTTCGTGGTTGGAAAACTAGTGGTCGCCGTTGGTAGGCCAACATAGGACACAGATGAGTTCTACTAAATCTAGGATACGGATAAAGTCATGAAGTCTCAATTAGATAAGATTACAAGAGTTAGTAATTAATTAAAATTACTTCTATTATTTATCTCTAGTACACCTCACAACATGGAAGATTCCTTAGAGACACAATTGTTGGGTTAAAAATGAAGGAAAAGATTTCAAGCAAGAGCTTTAAAAGAAATAATTCTATAATTTAATTCAACAATTGATCAAATTACTTTATAACTAACTATGTTTTTATTATTTTTAGTAAAAGAATATTGATTAAAATAATTGAAGACCATATAAAATGAATAAAATATTAAATAATGATAAATAAATATGTTTAAAACTAAAGTAAAATAGATCAGATATCAATATTAATTAAAAAAATAAATTAAAATAAGTTATTTCATCAAGCAAAGTTGTTTGTTTGGATCCTACAAATGATCTGGTTTTGGATTTTATTTTATTTTTCATTAAGGGGGCCCTTTGACTTAAAAGTTTCCAGCTCTTGTGGCTTATTTTATTTCATTGTACCGTTCAAATAACTTGAATTTGGTTGGGAATATAAATAAAAAAATCCCATAGGATAAGCACTCGTGCTTAAACTATAATAAAATATTTGGTCAATCATACTTTGTGAGAGAGACTAAAGACGTCAACAATAATCACTGAGAAAAACTATTGGCCTGCACAAATCTAGCTATGGAAAATTGAGAGACGCTTCGGGCCATTAAATTACTTCCAGAAACAGACTTGGAAATTTGGTTTTGCTCTCTAAAATTCCAACGTGTTTTCCAGTTTTGAAGAGTTGTTGAGAAATTATCTACACGAAAGTACAAAGATCAAATTCAAGACTCTCTAAAAATTATCTGTTTTTATTTTAAGGGTAATCTATGTCAAATATCACTCATCTTTAAGTTCGGGCTCGAAAATGCCATCGACGTTTTAATTTTGTCAATTTTAGCACGGACGTTTATGTTTCACTGCAATTTTACCACTCCGCCGTTAATTCGTTAACGGGACGATAACATGACTTCTTTTTTCATTGACGGCGATGACATGGCACCCTCGTCAAAACGACATCGTTTTGGCACGACCGTTTTGATGCTCAAAAAGCTCAAAACGACGTCGTTTTCTTAATGAAAAATATGTTTTTCATGAGATTCAAACCGTAGACCTTTAGAGTCCAAATCTAAATACCCAACCACCAAACTAACTTAAAAACTTGGTATAACCTTAACAAAACTATTATAAATGTTCATCACTACCACCGTCACCCTCATTATCTTCTCTTAAGAACTTCACTTTGGTTATACTGATATCACCGCCGACTTCAAAGAAACCAATGGACATTTTGGACATAAGGATAATAGTTGTAATGGTGAGGCCTCCCCTGATGTCGGGCTCCTATGTGCAAGGCCCCTACAGTCCTTTGCTTCATTCCCCGGGCATGGTTTCTGTTGCGAGTTGGAATCCCTATGCGGTAGGTAAATTAAAATTTTATTCAGTTTCCTCAGCTGTGAGTAATTTTCATTATATTTTATTCTTGAGGTTGTTAATGCACCTGATACAGCCACCTGTTAGTCCCAGTACTCAAGCCACTGCTGGATCGAGCTCAGTTTTTAGAGTAACACCGTTATCTCCATCAGCACCTGCCTATACTCGATCTTATCAACCTGTAATTCCTGGTGTTGTGTCTTCGAGTAGTATTCATCAGGAGCAGTCATTTCCGGATAGACCCGACCAACCAGAATGTCAGTATTATATGAAAACAAGTGATTGTAAATATGGATCCTCTTGTAGATATCATCATCCAAAAGAAGTGCCTGCACCAAAAGTTGATGTCGTCCTCAGCCCTCTTGGTCTTCCTGTTCGTCCAGTAAGAATTTGTAAAATGCTATATAAATTTGATGTTGTTTACAAGGTTGGGTTTTAAAATTTTAATCACGTTTAATGCTTCTTAGTGGATAGCATGCTCTGTTTCTTGATGAAACTCATTTTGCAATGAACCATAAAAGTTAAATGAAGGAAACTATCATGAAATTGTTATGATTGATTTGTTTTATTTATTTATTCATGCTCCATATCCCTGTATACTTTTTTTTGTGGCATGGTGTTCAGGTCGAGGTGTATCAGTATCACCTTTCTTTCTTGATGTCATTCTGCCTATGTTTCTATCAACCAGTTAATTTCTAAGGTTTTTATGTATTAGTCGAGAGTCTTTGGAGGATTATATCCTTATGCCCATTTTTGGCCCGTACGGTGGTAGTCGGTGGTGATATCAGTGTAACCAAAGTGAAGTTCTTAAGAGAAGATAATGAGGAAGATAATGAGGGTGACGGTGGTAGTGATGAACATTTATAATAGTTTTGTTAAGGTTATACCAAGTTCTTAAGTTAGTTTGGTGGTTGGGTATTTATATTTGGACTCTAAAGGTCTATGGTTCGAATCTCATGAAAAACATATTTTTCATGAACAAAACGACGTTGTTTTGAGCATCAAAACGGTCGTGCCAAAACGACGTCGTTTTGATGAGAGTGTCATGTCATCGCCGTCACGGAAAAAAGATGACATGTCATCATCCCGTTAACAGATTAACGGCGGAGTGGCAAAATTGCAGTGATTCATATACGTCTGTGCTAAAATTGGAAAAATTGAAATGTCGATGGCATTTTCGAACCTGAGCTTAAAGATGAGTGGTATTTGACATAGATTACCCTTATTTTAGTTATCTAGTTATTGTCATTTATTTTCTATGTTATTTTCTATTTAGTAGCTTATATATCATTTTTTTATAAACCTAGGATGAATATAAAACAATATATATTTAAAGACTCACAACCATTTGACAATGAACGCTCATACTTTTAGAAATATGCAACACATATTTCCGATGTTAATATAGAAAATAATAATAATAAAATAATATTATAAAATCATGGGAAACAAAGTGATTAAAGAGATAGAACGAATTTACTGTTATCTTGATATGATTATCCGAAATAACAATTTGAGACGAAATCAATCCTGAGAAAATAAAATAAAGAAGTTAAACTTCTTAAAACCAAATCAAAAATAAATAGAAAAAATACTCCTTTTTATTTTGATCAATTGATCGAAACACAAATTTTCGGTAAAGATCGCGAACCATCCTTTCCTTCAACTATCATTGAAAAATTAGTGGAAGAGAGAAAATATTTTCTTCTTTTTTGTAACACCCCAACCCGTACCCGGCTCAAATACAAGTCTGAGGTGTCACATTGACTTTTCAAACTTTGACTCTTTTGAAAAACATAGAAATTTAAAACTTTGTTTAAAGCAAAATACGTTAATTTACATAAAAAATGACCACATAATACAAACTCCATCAGAGTACTCGTAATTAACGACTTATTACATGCCAACACTCTATACACAACAAAATACATACTTTGTCGATTACTTCTAATGTGATCTTCTAGTAATAATACTGCCCTTGCCACTTCTATTCTTGCTCTTCTCGTTTCTTGGTACCTACGCGTAAATCACTTACACGCTAAGTCATAGACTTAGTGAGGCAATAAATAAACATTTAACAACCAATTCATGAATATGCACTCTTATCATTTGATCATGACATTTCAACATGCATGTATCTATTACACGATAACATATATATAAGCATGTCATGTACATGTAAAACTTACCTTCTTGTGCCACTTTCACTTTAATTTATCTTTCAATTGTATTGCCCATGTATATTATTGAGAATAGAGGTATGCGAGTACACTGAGGTTGTGCACACATATGTTGTCACCACAGCTCGTATAAATGTCCCGAAGGACATATCATCCCGAAGGATGTCATCTGTGTCCCGAAGGACCTGTCATCCCGAAGGATGTAATCTGTGTCCCGTAGGACCTATCATATGTCCTATAGGACATATGTAACCCTCGACTCTTGGCATGCCAACTATACCTATAACTCTCGTATCATATACTATGGGCATTTATTATGAATACATTTCTCATCACTTGTTCTTTCTCTTCTATCACATACCACATGTATGTGTAACCATGTATTTCATATCATATCACATGTATCACGTATTACATATTCATATGTCATTTCATATCATATCACATGTATCACGTATTACATATTCATATGTCATTTCATATCATATCACATGTATCACGTATTGCATATTCATATATCATTTCATATAGTCATATAGCTTATCTCATTTCACATTGGTCATGTCTCATAGCATATATCACATATGCATATTATGTAACATATATAAAAACCTATACTCATTTCATGTATTCATGCACATATAAGAATCACCAATCAAATAACATTTTAGGAGTCACTTCTTACCATAGTAACTCCATCATTGACTCATCGCAAGCCAATGTTCGTTCAATAATATAAGTACAATTAAAATTGCACTCACTTTAGCCTTGTTTGATTTGAATCAATTTTAATCCTTTGATTAATCTAGAACTTGTTTAGGCTCAATATCTACATAAATATAAC